CAGTGAGGGGGGAGCAGGGGGCGAGGGGGAGATGGCAGAGAAGGGTTGCGGGTGCGGAAGGGACATTCACATTTCCGCACTTAAGTCTCTGAGAGGAAAAGGCCCCTGCCCAGGCTATTTCGGGGGGGGCTTTTACTCACGGTTTCGTTTCTTGACCCTGTCTGTGGGGTTTTCCCAAATCAATGCCACGTCACCGCCCTCCCTTTTTATGAAAGGGCTCTTTCCCACACAGACTCTGCTGGCGAGTGGGGAAGCAGCCTCCCCAGGCCCCCAGGGGTTGTGTGACGTTCCAGGTTACGGGGTGGGTGCTCGAGGCAGCTCTGTGTTGGATGGATAGAGAGAAACCTCTAGATATCGAACCTGGGCCTGGCTGCTGATGGCTTTACCGGGCTGAAAGGTCACATCTGCAAAAGCGAGCCTCTTTCTGGCCCTGTGGTTGCTGTTGTAATCGTTGGTAGCCCTGGGCAAATGCCTGGCCAAAAAAAGGGGTCGGGGAGTAAGCAGGGGGAGAGGATTCGGGAGGTGGAAATGCGATCACTGCCTGCCCCTACAATCTGTTTTGGTTGTAATGATAGGAGGGATCTAACTTCACAGCTGCAGGTCCTGGGGCTTGGAGTAGTTTGAGAGCACAATGCAGCTTTCATCAGTTGCCCCTAGGAGACTGCATGGAGCAGCTGCCGATGGCTCTTTGAATGAGGCAGGTTCTCAGAGAATTGACAATAAAACTCGTTTCCAGTTACCGTTCATGATTTATTCTTGCTGGTGAGTCTGACTTCATGAGTTTTCACTCTGACAGGCTGGGCAAGGTGAGCTGTTGCTGCTCCAAACACAAACCAATCAATATTGGATGTTTAGCTTAAAACCCCAGCTCAAGGCAAGCAATTAGGTGAGAATCTCAGCTTTTGGTTTTTTTCTTTAAAAAAAGCACCTTTCGCAGAAAAGTTGCACAGAAAATATTGAAACCATAATCTGATTTAGTGGCTCTTTAAACAAAGGTAAATCATTCCCCACAACTGACTTTTTTTAATCTCATGATTTTGAAACTAAACTAAGGATTTTGGGTAATTTGTTCATGATTTCTGGCTGCTTGGGGTTATTTATAATGAATTTTATGTGAGCAGAAAGCCCAAGGACTGTGAGACTTTCTCCCTTCCCAAAAGTTTCCACCTGTGTGTTTATTTGCCTGGGTTTTTCTCTGTCAGTACTTTGCGTGCACTTCATACAGTGGATTATGATTTGCAGACAAGTCATGGGCAGGGTTGGGTTGCATTTTTGCCTTGTTTGAAGGCAGCTCACAATGTTTTGATGTCACTTGCATATAATACAAACCAATAAGAGGCATGGCTGGGGGAAGATTCAGCCTAATGGGCCATTTCCTGTGGCAACTGCCAGTCCCTACAGTTTAGTTTGTTAGTAGTCCAGAGTAAAAGGACATCTTAGTTTTTCGGATTCTTTACACTTCATTTCTTAGTGCCCTTCCAGGTGCGGATTTTCATCAAGAAAGCTGTACACTGGAGGGCTACGTCTATACTGCAGGCTTTTTGCACAAGAACTGTTTTGCGCAAGAGGTCTTGTGCAAGAGCGCGTCCACACTGCCATGTGCTTTTGCACAAGAGCATCCATGGCCGTGTGGACACTCTCTTGTGCAAGAAAGCTCTGATGTCCATTTCCTTTGTGCAAGAAACCCCTGTTGCCCGTTGACACTGCCTTCTTGCGCAAGAGGGCTTATTCCTTGCGGGGAAAGGAATAACTCTTGCGCAAGAAGCCCTCTTTTCTGACGCTTTACTGTAAATTTACTTGCGCTAGAACACGCATGCAGTGTAGACGCTCTGCAAGTTTTTGCACAAGAACGGCCGTTTTTGTGCAAAAAGCCTGCAGTGTAGACGTAGCCTATGTCCAGGCTACCTTTGAGACTTGCCTGTCTCCTTACGCACTATCTCAAAGCCTGGTGAGATCCACTTGGACCCTCTTGCTTTCAATCCTTGTGGGTTGTGCCTGGCCCAGGCCTCCTCAGGAGTTCACTTTCCCCATAGTTATGGCAAAATCCAAGTTATTTACTTCCAGGACACACCAGATCTAGCTATTTGTTGAGCCTTTTGCTCAAGAATGGTTGTCCAGTTTGGCACAATTTTCTTTGTGAGCAGGATGTGTTACAGGTTAATGTTTTTGTTAATTGACGAATGTATTTGTAAGTTTGAATGTATTTGCAGCCAGAGACTATGAGGGTGTGATTTTTCTGAATACATTTAAAAAATTAAATAAAATAAAATTTGTCTCCAGTTTTCCCCCAAGAACGTCTCCTTCGTGCTCTCTCATTTTACCCTTCCTGGCTATGTCTACACTGCAGGCTTCTTGCGCAAGGACTGTTTTGCGTAAGAGCGCGTCCACACTGCCATGTGCTTTTGCACAAGAGCATCCATGGCAGTGTGGACGCTCTCTTGCACAAGAAAGCTCTGATGGCCATTTCCTTTGTGCAAGAAACCCCTGTTACCAGCCACACTGCCTTCTTGGGCAAGAGGGCTTATTCCTCGCGGGGAGAGGAATAGCTCTTGCGCAAGAAGCCCTCTGTTCCGACGCTTTACTGTAAATGTACTTGCACAAGTTTTTGCGCAAGAACAACTGTTCTTGTGCAAGAAGTCTGCAGTGTAGATGTAGCCCTGGTGTTTCTTTATCCTCCTCCTGTTTGTGTGCTGCTGAGAAATCCCTCAGGGCTCCTGAATCCACTAATCAGCATGATCAATGTGCTCTCAGCTGAGCCCTACAATTAATCCACAAAGTGTATTTGGAAAAAGCTGATTGAGAAAGGACTGGGCTCTGCACCTGAAACATTCGCTGGCAGCATTTACTGGGCCTGGTACAGCTACATCAGCAAAGTCTGTGATGTCCTAGCAGCCTCTGGGTCTAGGGATGGTCATTTCTCAGCAAGAGTAGGCTCCCTATTGCACAAACTGTAACTAACTTACAGTGCACGCTCGATAGAATATGTCTGGGACTGCTGGCCCATCGCTCCCAGCACCAAAAGGAAGGGGGTGGGTCTCTGAGAAATCAGGAACTGGAGACTGACAGGCCCCAGGAACAATGAGACGAGTGCGCCTGATCAGCCTGATTGACAGCGTGGGTTGGCCAATGAAGGAGTGAAGAGTCTGGGGAGAGTCCTGTCTGTAATCCTCAGTGGGCCAGGGAAACGTCCAGCGGGGATCGAGCCCCTGCCGCGGGGACCCCCCTGGCCCTGCGCTGTGAGGGGTGGAGCCTCAGGAGCCCTGGGCCCGGCGGTGTTGGGGTTGCGGGGACTCTGCCACACAGGAGAGTGGAAGGGGAGCCCTCGAGGGCAGGGAGGCCTCTGGGTAAAGGAAGTGCGAGCGGGGACTCAGGTCCTTTCACCGGGGTCATGTAGGAGCCAGGAAAGTTCCCCACAGCAGCGGGACCATCTTCCGCTTACACAGCAGGAGGGCGCCTGTCGGCCTGGAGCTCCTCTCTGTGGACAGAGCTGTCAGAATGCAGCTTTCCACTGGTTCTAGAGCAGGGCTCGTTTGCTGCAGGGCTCTGCTCTCCGCGGGTCCTTGTGCAGGCGGTTGTGGAAGGCCCCTACTGGAGATGGAGCAGGCAAGTGCTTTCTCGTGGAGATTTCGCTCTCCCGTGTTGGTTTCAAACTCAGATAACGGTTATCTGGATGCACAGTGCCTGTCCCAGGGGCGTCAAGAGCAATTCCCAGCTGGGCTTCTCCCTGACCCCACGCTAGCCGGAGAGCCAAGGGAATATGTGCAGAACAGTGGGAACTAGTGACCTCTGAATCCGGAAAGCCTCCCTCGTGGCCCAAGAACCCTGTTACTAAGAGGGATTGCAGGTTTTCCCTTGTGGAATGAGCCAGACTCAAGCACTGAAAGCCTGATACATACACTGAAAAGCTACAATTCAGTGGCTTCCCCTTTGGTCCAGGAAGACAGGTGCTCCAAAAAGTGGGGAACACAGAGAGAGCAAGACACAGCAGAAATCACAGCAACTAACGCACAAGAAATGAAACTTCTGACTTCCAGAGGGCAACCTCCAGCTAGTGTCCTAGGATCCAATCGCCATTCAGGGATTTAGCTAATCAGGAGCCAGACATGCTTACTGACCCACCTTCAGAGGCGTAAGGCTCAGAAGCCAGAGAAACTGCCTGGTTTCCTAGTTGCTAAAGGACTTGGTGAGAAGAGGGGTAACTCTGTCTGCGGTGCTCAGCAGAAAGCAAAAGGCAAACATGCTTCTGAGGGCCAGAGCAGGGTTGGGGGGCAGAGTGAGTGACCCTAGATCAGCAGCTGTGCTTGTATCTATCCCCAAAGCCGTTCTGTGCAGGCAGTGCCCTTTCAAGCCCTGCTCCCAGGTGCTAGTGCTGCTCTGCAGGCAGGAGAAGGAAGGTGGCTTAGAAGTGCCTCTGTGCTGCAAACTAAATCATGCCAAGGCCCCTGGGAGCGAGAGATGCAGCCTCCCAGTGGAGAACTGTCAGCAGCGGTTTAGCTCCCTCTTGGTGCCTAAAATAGTGAACCGCTGCCACCTGAACAGGATTTGCTGCCTCCCAGCAGCCTTCAAGCTCCCTTGTGAGAGCGCCAAACACTCTTGCCCCTGTGCCTCTGTGATGGGTAGGAGGGGAGCTAGCAACCACCCAGGGACTAAGGGGTTAAACTCAGGCAGCTAGCAAGGGTGTTGGCAGGGGGCCAGAAGAACCAATGGGGATACAGGGCTGATCTCACCTGCTCTCCTGTCTTGTAAATTAAGGGCTGGAGGGAGCAACATGGAGTAATTGGAATGACCATGTCTACAAGGAACACTGGGCATGGAAGTGGACTGAACCAGGAAGGAATCGTGAGTAAATAAAGGGAAAGGGCTATTCAGTCGCACTCGGGTATTTTTCGTTGTTTTGATGGTTAGGTTCGCACAGAGAAGTTTAACCAATGCCTTCCCTCCCCCACTCACTGTCTAGGAGATGGTCTCTGTCTTTTAATTCATTGGATTTAGTTGCTCTGTTACCCCTAGCAATCCAAGATGCTTTATCAAGTTTATCTTTTTTGTTTTGTTAACAAAATCACCTTTTTAAGGTGATGATTTGCTTCTTGTGTCCTGGAAAGAAACAGCAGGTCTGTGTCTGTGTCTGCGTCTGCGTCTGCATGCCTCAGACTAAGGTCAGCTACCACAGGCTGATTTCTCTTCGTGGCAAAGGAGCTTGGGGGTTCCCCTCTGGAAGACGTCCAAGTGCTTCCTTCCTGGGTTCAAGAAGAAAGGTGTTTTTTCCCCTTTTGTTTCACTTGGTGGTGGCAGCTACCCCCTCCCTTCCGCCACCAAAGTTGGCCAACCTGCGTCTCTGGGGAGTTTTGTAAGCAGAGCCTATAGAGGCAAGGTATTTAAGGTCTCTTGTGGCCCCCATGTCTGCACTTGGAGTGCCAGAGTGAGGAACAGCCCTGACACTCCCCTAAAGGTCCACGTGACTGTGAACGAGGGGGTCGGACTGAACTATTCCGGCGCCCCAGGCAGACAGTTTAATTGCGCCCCGGGTTGGGGGAGGGCTGAGCCTGGCCGTGCAGGGCCACGCGGGGAAAGGCGCTGCTGGCCGGCGCTGCAGGGGTTAACGCGGCCCCTGCCCCAGGCGGCCACTGCAGGATGACCGCTGGGAGCTGCTGCAGCCCGCGATCCAGGAGCCGGGTGTGTGGCGCTTGATGGCAGCTAGAAGGGGTGCTGTGGGCTCCTTACAGCTGCCATCAGGCGCCCCCCATAGGTTGGCACCCCGGGCAGCTGCCCGGCTCACCCCCCTCCCTTAATCCGGCCCTGCACGTGAGACAGGTCCTGTGTTGAGATCTGATCTGTGCTACCAAGAGGCTGGCGAAGGGTCAGCTGCCCATCCTGTGAGCTGGGCCCAGCCGCTTTCTTCCTCCCCCAGCTTGTATCCCTTCCTGGAGGGGGACTGTCCTGCAGTTCTCCACATGTGCCATTTCCTCCACGGTTCCTTTTAACCACCTTGGCCCTGGCGAGCCGATCGCTGAGCCCCTTTCCTGCCCCGCTGCGCAATGAACCCCCGTGGCTGGGACACAGGTCAGTAGCCAGGTGGCCAGCTGTCCCCACAGGCTTTGCAGTGTCGCTCTCGGGCGCACAGCAGAGCTCACTAGGCACTGTGTCTGAGACAGTGGGAGCAGGGCTCTGGGAAGCTGGAGGCCTGGCCTTTAGACAAGACCCTAAATAGATTCTCTTACCAGCACCTCCTCTGTGTGGCCTTGGGCAGCTACTAGCCCGGGATGGGCAATCATTTTGGATGGGGTGGCCACTCCAAGAATTTGGTAAATGACCAAGGGCCACAGTGGAGGTTGGTGCAGAAAAGAGTTCGGGGCAGAGGATTGGGGTGCAGGAGGGGGTGGGGGTCTGGTAGGGAGTTTGAGTCAACTGATTTGGGGAGGGGCATAGGAGGGAGTGCAAATGTTTGGGTTGTGACCTGGGGCAGGGAGTTGGGGTGCCAGGTGCAGGCTCTGGCCGGGAGGTGCTTACTTAGGCAGCTGCTGGCCAGAAGCCCAGGGGGCTGGGACCAGGTGTGTCTGCACAACGTGCCATGTGCAGAGGGGGTGGGGGGGGGGGGGGGGCTTGTGTGCTGCCTGTGCCATAAGCACTGCCCAGGCAGCTCCCATTGGCTAGTTTCTGACCAGTGGGAGCTGTGAAATTGTGCTGGGGGGAGGGGCAGTGCATGAGACCTTCCTCCCCCCTACTGCTGCTTGCTGCATAGAGATGCATGGGCTGGCCCCAGCAGCTGGCTACTTGGAGCAGTGTGTGGGGTGCAGCTGGCAGGGAGCAGGACGCTGGCATCACAGAGGAGTGTTGTGGGCCAGGTCTGAGTGGGTCCAGCCTGTGGGCCATGCTTTGCCTGCCCCTGTACTAACCCTTCAATGGGACAGAAACTGCTGCCACAGGGGTGCTGGGAAGCCAGGCTTTCCCGTCGAGAAGTGCCGAGTGCTGTTACTGTTGCAGTGGGGAGGGAGCCACTGAACGGTGTCACGTGTGGGAAGGACAGAGAACAGCAGGAGGCGTATCCGCCGGAGACATGCCAGCTACTCGTACAATGGTCAGGCGCCAGAGCCAAGGCCTGGGGCTGAGCTGCTGTGCACAGACTGGCACCGCGCTGCGCCTGGGACAGGAGAGTCACTCGGCCCGGCCAGGCGGCTCAGTGACTTGGCTCTTTGTTTGCAATGGGCATTACTCAGGCTCAGCTCTCACTCCCTGTCCCCGGCAGGCTGATGCAGCTTGCTGATGTGCTCAATAAACACGGGTCCTCATGCTTGGGGAGTGGCCACAGCCCGGCCCTGCTGCCAGATGGGGTGCGGGATTATCGCCTGTTGTTTGGTTTTATAGGGAGGGAGGCCTGGAAGTCGTACCCACTGTCGCGAGAGGTGCAGAGTCTACCACAGCCTGCGTGCAGGTCCCAATCTCGCCACCCATGCATGGGCCCCAGTAGTGACCGTGGCTCAGCTCCACTGCTGCTCAGTGACCTAGTGGGAGGGAAAACTCCTTGTGCAGGCTCAGGCTTTGGTCCAGGAAGCAAATTCTTTTGCATTGGATCCATTTCTTGTCACAAGTGTGCACAGTACCCAGGGTGGGACTGGCTCTCGTGAGGGGTGGGGGCAAGGGCAGATCTGGGCTTTGAGCTGGACTGCCAAGTGGATGTTTTGATGCGACTAAGGGTATGTCTAGACGGCAGCCCTCTGTCAGCAGAGGGGTGCAGATTAGGCAGGTCGACATTGCAAATGAGGCAGGGATTTAAATATCCTGTGCTTAATTTGCATAAAAATGTCCGCTGCGTTTTGCCAACTCAGCACTTTGTCGGCAAAAGCGGCAGTCTAGAGGGGGATCTGTCGAGAAAGAAAGCCTGTTTCGACAGATCCCTAATGCCTCCTGCAAGGAGGGTTACAGGGCCTGTCGAAACAGGCTTTCTTTCTCGACAGACACCCCTCCTGACTGCCGCTTTTGCCGACAAAGTGCTGAGTCAGCAAAATGTGGTGACCATTTTTATGCACATTAGGCGCAGGTTATTTAAATCTCTGCCTCGTTTGCAGTGTCCACCTGCCTAATCTGCACCCCTCTGCCGACAGAGGGCTGCCGTCTAGACATACCCTCCTTGCTGCTTCCTCCTCAGACCCTACACTTTCTGTCCTCTCTACTCAGTGCTTCCTCTGCCCCCTGACATCAAGTTTGCTTCTCGCCTACATGCTCAGGGTCTACCTTAATTTTCTGCAGGTCAGATTGGCAGAGATGCTGTGAGTTTTTCACCTTACTTTGCAGCATGGGGCACAGGTCACTTGCAGGTTTAAACTGTGTAAACGGTGGATTCTCTGTACTGGGAAGCCTTTAAACCAGGATTTGAGGACTTGAGTAACTCAGCCAGGGGCTAGGAGTCTATTTCAGGAGTGGATGGGTGAGGCTCTGTGGCCTGCAATGTGCAGGAGGTCGGACCCCATGATCATGAAGGTCCCACATGCTTATGCAGGGCAGCTGAAACGGTTTTTGGGTCAGTGCCTCTCAGCAGCTGCACTATAAACCCTAGAACGGAAACCACTTCTAGCCAGGGGTGCTGCAGTGCCCCCCTGCATCAGCACATGCAGCACCTGTGAGTCACGGCAACAGTCTTTAGCCCTGGAGTCAGTGCCAACGAGGATTGCGAGTAGCTGATGTAAAATACTGGGACAATTAAACTCTGGAGTAACTTCATTGGATTCAGGGGAATTGCACTAGGCATGAATCTGAATGTGGATGATTTTATTTCAGTGGCGCTTTAGTGAACAAGAAATCCCTTGCAATTGCATACGCTTAGCCACCTAGTAGTCACCTTACCAGCTGCAAGTTCCTCAGCTACCGTGCATGACTCAGTTCCCTCTGCCATGCTGAGCTACAGCAGCGTGGCAGCTGCAGAGACTCGTGGCAAGGACTCGCTTTCCCCTTGCTCTAGGTTCCTGCCCTGCCTTGCTGCTGCCGTGAGGGTGGTGGAGCAGAGAGTGAATGGAGGAGTGCCAGAGTGACGAAAGCCCAAAGCAGACAGCAAATGGAGGTGGGAGGGAGACCCAGGCATTGTGCAGGTACAGCAGTAACTGTTCGATACCCTTTACGTGTGACGTTCTCGGGCTAATCTGCCTGAATGGATGGTGCACCTGGCCTAGAGCCTGCAGTTCTGAACACAGGCCTGTGCTGCTGCTGGACTGGGAGAGTCTCCAGCTGACGGTCGCTGGTCGGGCTGCACACGTGAGCTGCTAGGGGCCTGACACCATTGATTACCCAGGCATGGGAGAGACAAGAATCAGGCTCTGGAAGAGGAAGTAGGCGCGTGTCTCGTGGAGCCCGTTAGCATCTAATGAGAGCTGCAGTTCTTTGCTGCCCTGTTCCACTTCTCCAGCTATTTGTCCATGAATTTTCTGTTCACCGAGCAACAACACAGCCAGGAGAACTGCTTGTCTGCTGGGGCCAGATATCTGTGTGCACACTTCCATTGCCCATGACAGATCAGACTCCCAAGCCCTCATACAACCTGTGTGGCCTCGCTCTTCACTGGCCTGAACCCAGACCAAAATGAACGTTCCAGAAACCAAAACAGCCTGGTCCTAACCCCAACCTGAGCAATAACGTTGTACTTTTCAGTGGGATGCACGACTGTTTAGATAGAGCATTTGCCATTTTGTTGCCCAATCACTTAGTTTGGTGAGATCTTTTGGAAGCTCTTCACAGTCGGCTTTGGTCTGAACTATCTTGAGCAATTTGGTATCATCTGCTATTTTTGCCACCTCACTGCTTACCCCTTTCTCCAGATCATTTATAAAGAAGTTGAATAGGATTGCTCCCAG